CAGGCATGGCGTCTAACAGCAATCGCAGTCAGCATAGATTTAGAAGCGATGTCAGCTGTGTGTTTTGCAGCAAATCGCTGTTGCCTGGTAAGCATGTTAGCCTCTTCATAAACGTTAAGGGCTTCAGCTTTTGCAGGGTCAGGTAAGGATTGCAGTACTGGAACTATCTTGTCCCACAAGTGCTTCTAATAGGCGCCCATGGCGGCCTGGTAGTTACCAATTTTAATAAACATTGCGGCGAACGAATACAGCTTCTTTCCAAAGGTATCTGACTTCTTTCCGTCTTTGTCAACAGGTGTAACTGATGATCTAGTACGGGATTTGTACTGAGTGGTTTTGACCACAATGGAATTGGGTGAAGGATGCTTGGCCAGAAAGTCAGAGTCCGAACCATGAGTTTTATAGTGGTGCTCGAGCTTGTGCGGCACCTGTACCAATGTAGGAGGTTTGTCCCAAGAAGATTTTACCAGCTCAAACAGAACAGGAATGAGACTGAGGCTAGGGGGAGAGGTTTTGTCCTGCTCCATGTCATGGAAGATGGGGTCCCGTTCTTGTTGAGGGATTTGTGCATCAAGCTGCAAGGTTTTCGCCATCCACATAATGAGCTGTGCATAAGATGAGAAGTCCTCTGAGGAGGGTTGAGATAATGAGCCTTGAGCAGAAGTGTCAGGGGCGTCAGAGTCGGTGGAAACCGTAGATGGATTAGACTGCGAGGCGATCGTCTCGGTACTGCGTCTTCTGGCACCATTTCCACATCCGATTGGGTGGACTGGGGAAGGGCACGGTATCATGGGCATCAGGACCGGAGAAGAGCATCGTAGCTCAAACCAAAGAGTGTCCAGTACTGTAGTTAGCACACTTAGGGAGTGCTGTAGGTACCGTAGGTAACTGCCTCTTGCGAGGTGGTGCTTGAGGCATAGGAAAGTCCTGTTGAGTATGTGGCTGACACGGGATAGAGGAAGCCATGGTATGGTGCCACGGTATTTGTGTCTGAGGTAGGCATAGCCAGGGTACGGACACGGTTGGAACGGAGCATAAAAGGAGTGACCAAACTGTGGCAGTCCTCGCGGACGGTACCCATCGCCTCCATCCCGAGGCTGGTATGGAGTGATATTTTTGCGCTTTGCGGTACGCTTCCTAGGAGTTTCATGATCAGACTCCTGTTCAGATGGAAACTTGGTATCAGCCCGCACTGAATATTGAGGGCTTGGATGGGCAACAGCCCGGCTGGCGTCTGGCTCAGCCTCAAATCGGCCCGAGTTTGGTAACATGCACATACAGTGGGGGCTTGACTTGCGAACTTAATCCGTATTGGAAGGCGGTTCGCAAGTCAAAAAGTTCGCAGGTCAAATCTGCATTTCCCATAGAAATGCACTGAAAACTATTTGCTCCATATCTGCTCTTTTCCGTCCATAGAAACTAATGGGAAGTGGCGCAGGACCCTGAGGAAGGGAAGGGAAGGGGTGCCGTCAGTTGGGGCATTCATTACGTACCTGCGAGCCCCTCCGCTTGGCCCAGAAGGGGCCCACAGGTCCCGGTGGCGGCGGTGGCCTTGGCGGGAGGAGAAGGGGAGGCACCGGAGTTTGTAAATTTTTGTGGGACTCCTGGGGAAGTCCCTTATCCTAATCAGGTTCTGTGTGATAGGGTTTGTTACTAGCTTTTGACAGTTCTGGAGTTTGCGCAGGAAAAGACAGGAGCAGGTTTTTATTAATGTAACAAGGATTTTCTCAACAACAACTTCAACAGGGTCATTAAAATTTTGATTTACTGGTAAACTGTTCTATAACGTAGGCAGAGTATTCCCGTAAGAGTCAGCTTCTAACGATAGGTTTGTCTGAAGCGCTCCTGATCGGTCGGTTTCCTCTGGCACCCACTCCTTATGGCACAAATAGTTCGGCAACAGGGGTGACTCGCCCACTCTCCCTCTGGAGGCTTCTCTCCTTGTTGTATTGGCCTTGATCTGGTCACTTTCTTCACCAGCCCTTGTCCCCACTGATATACTAGGACAGTCCATTCCTTGGGATACAGTCCCTCTATCTATAGTTTAATGTTTTCACCTTTCTCATCTTTCATGCCGCGATCTTTACCTTCTGTTTTTATTCTCCTCTGAGGTACCTTAAACACTGGGTTCATTCTCCCCTTCAACCCATTCATCCTCTAGAATTACTACCTTTTCCGTCTCACCAGATTTTCCCCCTTCCTCCAAAGTGAGGAACACATCACCTCCCTCCGGGTTTCTTTTCCTTGCCCTTCCCCTTTTTCTCCCACCTTTAGCCCTTCCATCCTATTAACCATTTTGGGCATCTCCTCTCCCACAACTCTTTCATCCTTTGCATCCCATGCAGACATGTGAGGGGATGGCTCACTCTCT